AGCAGAGGGATCAGTATGTACGATGGCATGGAGGCACAAAATCGTATTATACACTGAATACCAATTAGTGATTCATCAAAGCTGGTACCTGGGAGAGAGTAGTGTAGTGAAAGATGAGCTGAAAGATGAGCGTATTATTACCCCACCCTCCCAAATAAAGGAGGGTCTAATCAGGGAGGACAGTTTCACTTCTTATGCTAAAGAGTCAGACTTTATCCTAACTATTTGCATAATAGAAGTGGAGAGAACAAGGGTTTTGAAGTAGGATGGTCAGAGTTATCCTTCAGAAGAGTCTTTGTGAATCCAGCATGAGTTCGGTTGGATTTGATGTGAGATGGAGGCAGAGGGACCTCTAAGTGGCAGTGGTGTGGAGAGAAAAGATCAACATCAGTTATGTTAATGAGGCAGAAACTACAGGACTTAGTGAGTGACTGCATGTGGGTTATGGGTAAAAATGGGAAGACAATGAAAGTATCCAAGTTTCTGGTGGAGATGACTGGGTGGGTTGGTGGTGACATTTCCCTGGAGGAAGAAGTAGCAAGTTTTGTGGAACTCTTTTGGATGTTCTGAGTCCACAAGCCAGCAAAGCCACCTGTCTGGGAAGGAGGAAGAGGGATGAGGGGACCAATACGTGGATGGGCATCAGAAGAAACTGTCTACTTCATGTTTTTTGAGGGCCAGAGTTCACTGTCTATAATACTGTTGACAGGTAGAAGTTTATTCCCTCTACTGAAAACTAGATCTGTTAAGGCTCAGTCTAGCTTCCTCTCTGTAATTGACACACTCCCTTGCTAAGAGCTGTGTAGCATCTGTTTTATAGCTCTGGATCTGGGTTGTAGCAAAAGGAAAGTAAACTCAGAGGTGAGCAGAGCATTAGGTGGAAGCTTGGTGAATCTGATGAAAGAGAAGGAGTGTGGTCATGGGCTAGATGTCAACATGTAGCCTGTAAATGCCAGACTGGCTGCTGTTCTTGTGAAATTAGTTGAGCTTTGTTTTGGGTATTAGCCTTTTATTTCTTGCTTCTCTCCTGTGTTCCACTCTATCATATTTAAGTAATACCATCTACCTTTCCTCCACACTTGACACTTTTTTTTTTTTTTTAACCACTAAGGTGTAAATGACTGATAACAGCTCAAAAGGAAGCAGAAATATGCCCCAGCTGGTGTGGTACTACTCCCCACACACATAAGCTCAGCATGGTTCAAAACTTATATCTTCCTTTCTCACCAGTATTGACTTCATGATTTTTTGTTTTTGTTTTTTTTTTTTCAAAATAATGGTCTGACAATAAGTATAAATTAGAAAGAGTTGTTAAGGATGATGAAACTCATTTACCATCCTAGACAGAGTGTTACTTTCACTCTATCACTCTATTTGTCGTCATGTGAAACACCAAAAGGACGGAGTTCTAATATAATTTCAGGTGGTAAGTACTTATGAAGAGGATATTTTGTGTGCAGAACTCTTTTGAGGGCCTTTATAATCTCGCCTCCTACACCGTCTGTGTATAATATTTGGCTAATAATAAGTACTCAATAAAAGTTAGTTGGATAAATAAATACATGAGTTGTTTCCTAGGGAGCACCCATCAAAACATTCTCTTTCTTGTGGAAGGGTGTCAGTGACTATAGACTAGACCAGCTGCAGTATTCAAACAGAAATTAGAGTCTTAATAGATGATGCAGAAGCACGGAACCCAGAGTTGGACAGGAATTTTCTATGCTCATTTGAAATTTGGCTCTGACCGTGGTTTCTCTGTCACAGATTTTGGGGTGAGAGAGAGCTCCCACAGGGAAAGCCGTGCGTGCTGACATAGAAACCGAATAGAACCTTGGCTTGGTTTGGAGTCCTTGCTATTTTAGTCACTTCCAGATGTCTGCTGTTGGAGCTTTAAGGAAAGGGGAAAGATGTGTGGAGTGTGGGGGCGCTGGCTGGGTGAAAGGGGAGGGGTGTTCCTCTTTTAAGCCTTTCAACTCGTGTTTAAAGCCACCCCTCAAGATGGATTGTATAAAGCTTTTAAAAATTGTGCTCTTCAGTAGTTTCTCTTTCATTTACACAAAGACAAACTTGAAGAAGCCTTTGTAAAATAATAAGTATTCAAAAAAAAAAAAAAAAGAAAAAAAACCCTTACCACTTTGGATGTGATCTAATATTTATGAAGTGCCAGCCATTGAACATATGTTGAATGGTACATATACCAGATGGGCTAGATGCTCCAGTAGCTATTGTGCTAACCTAGCAAGTACACCAGATGCTTGTTATATATCTCCTTTCCCCTTTTATGTCATTTTAGAGGTGTCTCTTAATCCTAATGCCATCATTATGAATTAGAAAAAAATGTCAGGTTGTAATATTTATGGATGTGGAGATGAGGCCCTCTGGAATTTTTTTCAAAAGGGGTATTAGGTCCTTTCTAAGAGGTCCTGGCTTCACCAAGAACCAATCCAGAGATATAGGTCAAAAGTCCCTTCTGAGTTGATAGGATTTTCTTGTTTCTTTGTTTTACTGGGAAGGTATGGCACTAGCATGATACAAGACCTGGTATAGGCAAAGAAAGCACAGGAGAAGCAGTATAGCACAATGGTTAAGTGTGTGGGATTTGAATCAGACAGACCCAGTTCAAGTTCAGACTCTGTCACTTACTAGCTATGTGAATTTGGACAAGTTACTTCACATCTCTAAGACTCATTTTTTTTTTTTTTTTTTTAATCTGAGATGGAGAGCAAGAGGGGGTGGTAAGTAACAATGCTCCCTTGTCCAACCAAGTTGTGAGCTAACCAGAAATAGGGCAAATGTTAAGACAAGTAGAGGTCGGCATGTCACCTTTATTATTATTAAAACTGATATTAAAAAATGTGATATCTTTTTATGGCAAGTGGCTTCACAGCTAGGCATTTCTGCCCAGCAGCCTTAAACCAGGATCGGCCCCTTCCCCCCGGCAGGGGCAGAGCATGCATATGCTCTCTCAAGAGGAGGAGAAGAGGTGGCTCACATTGTTCCCATTTGTTCCTCCATGCTCTGCTCTCCAATTAGTGTCCCCTCCCCAGGACTAGTGTGAGGTCATGGAAAGAGCCTGGGAGTGTTACATTTATGGGAATTCTCTACATGGATGGAAACATCAAGAGTTGAGGAAAACTATTTCCCCTGACAGTAGCAACTTCTTTAGGTTCTTCTGAGGCTTCTGTGAAATGAAGTAAGGTGCTCAGCAAATGCTAAGTGTTCAACAAAACTTATCGATTGATATTATTACTACAACCATGATCACTAAGTGTCAGGACGGTAGCAAGGAAATGAGGTAAGGGTTAGATGCAGGGAAAAATAGAGGAGTTCGGAAAATAATGTTATAATTATGGGCAAAAAAACTGTTTGAGATATCTCTAAACTACACAAGAGGCCAAGTACCAACACTTACTATGTTCTGTTGTTGTTGCCCTGGGACAGGACGGCCAGTCTGAAGACAGGGGAGAAGGAGGTGGCATTTAAAATAGCTGAGAGGGAACAGAGACTTTAACTTGCTGAATGTGAAAGAAGATGTCCTGGAACCAGTGCAGGGGAATCCTGCCAATGATTATTCTCCCGGGCTGCTTTCTGGGTCTTGGGCAGTGGGCCAGTCCACGTTCGTTTGGTTTCCTATCTGGGACATGAGATTAGCCTGCTTACTTCCCCTATTTAAGGTTTTCACTAGTTGTTTAGCCCCAAATTTTCTTTTTCTTTTTCTTTTGAGCTGAAAAAAATGCAGATATAGGCAGATAAGGTTCAGAGAAGTGCTTTTTTACCTACACCCCACTCATTCCATCCCAACTCTACTTAAGCCCATGTTCTCGTCTAAGATATTCTGGACATTTCTCCCCACCCTCCCCCAACCCCCCTGCTAATTCTTACAGAGTATTAAAAATAAATTTGCTGAAAATTCTGAAAGCAATAGTTTTTTCAGATCTCCGTTGGCCTCCAATTTGGGCTAGGCATTATCTTTGTTTAAGGCAGTTCTTAAAATTACTTGTCTTAATTCTTCCTCTGGAAATTAGCATCCAGGGCACTTCCTCCCCTTCTGCCTTCTCCCACTTCTCCTCCCTTCTTCAATGGTAGGCTTCAAAGTCCCTGGCTTGGTTAGAGTCAGACAACTGGATTTTCTAAGATTCAAGGGTGACCCACTTGATCTCAAGAGGAAGCCCCACACTGGCAAGTTATTATCTCCTCACTTCACAAAGCATAGTAATTTTAAGTTATTGCCAGAGAGAGAGATCAAGTCAGAGAAAAGCTAAAGAAGTGGATGTATAGTACTATGGAAACAACGTTTCAATTCCGAGCATGAAAAACACAGTGAATATGAAGAATACTATAAAGGAAGCAGCATCAGAGTATGCCAGTGCTCTGCATATGTTCCACTCAGGTGGCTTTGGGAAATGGTGATTCCAACTCTGGCAGATCATTTTTAGGAAAGAGCATGTAATTACATGAACAAATATGCTCGTTATGGGAGAATACTGTAATAGTCTTGATGAATAAAAGATTGAGAAGATTGGTTCCAATGTCACTTTACCTGTTCCTCGCTTGAGCTGAGACACAGCTTCTGTGGTTTAGGAGAACCAATCTAACTGTGGCTCAGGTGACTGCCATGGCACTTTGAGGAAGCATGTTTCAGGTTCTCCTCCCAATATTAAGCAAGCTCTTCAAATTATAAGTCAAATGACACCATGAAGTGTATGTTGATGCTTCAATCAATGGGCTTTTCATGGTAATGGCTCCACAGCTGAGCAAGCCTATATTTGATTACAAGTTTGGTCTATTTAGAAGTCCCTGAATTTCAAGTAAACTATGAGACTGTCAATCAATGTGGCAGCTGAAACGTTCACTCCGTGAAGCAAAACAATAGGGCTCATGTCAGGGCCATATCCCAAGGCTGAAAATAAATGTCATTTTGTTATTCTTAAAAGTCTATCTTTTTTTCTTTGAGTTACTCTTTACAACATCTGCTAAGTGGCTTTGCTGTTGGATTTTAGGGCTTGGCGCAATATTCTGTCCTCTTTTATGGCTATTACGACAATAAACGAACAATCGGATGGATGAATTTCAGGCTGCCGCTCTCCTATTTTCTGGTGGGGATCATGTGCATTGGATACAGCTTTCTGGTTGTCCTTAAAGCGTAAGTTTCATTTGTTCTCTTGGGAAGCAAGTAATGATTTCTGGATCAAAACGGGAGAATGGATATGTATATTTTTTTGTTTCACATTGAGAGGATGCAGAGTCTATGAGATAAAATGTCATTTAATACTGACACTACTATTAGACTATTACATTCTCCAAACAAAATAGTTGAACACAAGCACAAGCCTTTGGGTCATCTCACTGGGTTAAACTGTTGGTTGTATGCTTATCCTGTGTTTAAGCATATTTTTTAAATGTGCCTTTTTTGTACTTCACAGTGTGACATTTGCAAACAATATAGGGAAACAGCTGCTGACCCCTCTTTTTGCATGCAGAGAGGTTTGTGACTTGCAAAATCAGTTCAATAGGCAGAATCTGTTGTTCTCTGTTCGTTTTTTTAAAAAACCAGAATAATCAGTCATCCAAAAAATTTCAGCTGCATAAGACAGCAAAAACAAATGGCTCGCAACCAGACCATCATGATCAACTGTGTAATCATTGTTTGTCTTGGAAAAAGATTTATTAGAGCATGAGGAAGAATTTTATTGGGGAACCGATAAAACGACAGTTCAATTTTCCCCCTGCCTGAAATATAATCGTAATACTCTGCTTAAAGACACTGCAGAAACCTAACACAGTTATTTGGGGCTGATAATCTATCCGTTAGTCAATTCTCTGCACTAGCGTAGAAAAAGAGTTGAAACACCTCAATGTTCTAACCCTTTTATTTGACTCTGCACAGGGTGAATTTGCCATCTGCTTCATTTCAGGGAGGGACCTCTGCCCGCGGGCCCAAGTTCCCTGAGTAAGACCTCTCTGGAACAGTCTGTGACACACTTTGTGTCTCGTCCCTATCAAACTTACTGGTTCCACCAAAGAACACTGTCATATTTAGGTTTTAAGCCCATTTAGAACTTGAAAAAGCCTTACTAGAGACCCCAAATCCAAAATTTGTATCTACCCGTCCAAGTGTAATCAGAGATCTTAAATATTAGGTATCTGTCTACCCGCTAAAGTACTAATACATTTCAAAATTTAGATATTTCTAGTATTTAACCATTTTGATTTGGCAAGACTAAAATCAGGGGTGCCAGTTATATTATAAAGGCCTCAGAAGTATTATTTCTCTGTTAGTCTTCCAGTCTTCATAGTGATTGGGGAAGCATGTTTTTGTATGTCCAGTTACTCAGCTTCTTTCAGTGACTCTGCAGAGGCTGTATACCCTGGTGGCTTTTGAGCTGGTTTGCATGGATTCAAATCCCAGCTCTACCATGTACTATGAGACCTTTGGCAAATTGCACAAGTGCTCTATTCTCCATTTTCCCATCTCTAATAGAGTTATAATAACTGGTCTTAGGATGGCTATGAGAACTAAATGAGTTAATACATATAAAACACCCAGAGCATGTCTAGCTGGTGGTAATTGACAAACATTAATAATTTTATTAGGATTATAATTCATATACTTATTGAAGAATTGAACAAAGCCAACATGGTAGGAGTTGAGGTCCCCCAGTAGCCCCAATGACAGGGAAATCATATAAGGTTATGCAGTTATACATTAATGGATTGGTGTATTTGTTACAATAATTTTCTCACAGACGGATTAAAAGTTTATAGAGCAGCATTGTGAAAGGAAATATAAGATGGACTACACATCTCATTTAAAAATTTCTAGCAGACATATTAAACAAATCCATAGGTAAAAATAATTTTAATACTATATTTTATTTAGCTCAATATATCAAAATTATTACTTCAACATATAAGTAAAATAAAATTATCAAGATTTTTTTTTGGTACTAAGTCTTCGAAATCTTGTATTTTACATTATCACATTTCAAGTGCTCAGGCACCACATATTGCTGGTGGTGAGCATATTGGGGAAGACACATCTAGAGGAAATGCCAGGTTTTTCTAACTAGCTCAAAGTTGCCGTTTAGGATAGCTGCGAGACACCAAATCCACATTTTCCCTTTCAAAGTCATTCATATTATGTCAACCAAACCAATCTGGCTTTGGTGCCTCCCTCTGGCATGGACTTTTGGCTATTTGATATCTGATTGGCCAGTGTTTTAAACTCATTGACTTGTATAGTTACAAAACAATTCATGACTCCCATCCTATTCCTAGCCCTGAGGACAAGGCTTGGTGGAAAAACAATTGATGAAATATAAGTGATTGTACAGAATCACTTTTCATTTCCTCTCCTTCCTCCTCACCCCAATAGAACGTATGCTTGGAAAAAACATGAGTGGCTTTTTGGAATACATTACGCAAATCAAGTATGAGGGAACCCGAGTTCTAAAATCAATTAGGCTACTGATGGACTTTGTCATCTTGCCCATACCATTTGTCTCAGCATCTTCATCTATGAAATGGTGGCAAATATCTATTTTTAATTACCTAATAGGGAAATTGGAAGGTAGTATGAACTAGAAACTCAAAAAAGTATTCTGAGGTTTTAAGGTAGAGTGACTAACTTTGTTGACCCAGGACTCTCCTGGTTTTAGCACTGAAAGCCTGTGTCCTGGAGACCCATGCAGTCCCTGGCAAACCCAGATGGTTGGTCACCTAGTTTTAGGCCTTCCTTCCTTCCTTCCTTCCTTCCTTCCTTCCTTCCTTCCTTCCTTCCTTCCTTCCTTCTAGGGCAGTGTACATTACTAACCACAATAGAAGCTTAGAGAACTTCATAGTAAAAAGTTACATACATATTAAAAGCAAATTAACAACAGTATAACGTAAAGTTACATAGCATGGAGACCATCAACTCTTTCCTATGCTGGCTGTCCTCATCAGTTTAAAGTTTTGTCTTCCAAAGTAAAGGTGTTTAAATTTCAAGATCTAATTGTTCCTATTAAAAGTTAAACATTTTGCATATTTCAGAGAAGCAAACTACTGGAAACAACTTAATGCATGCATATAAATATTTTTCAATTTGAAAAAATGGGAATATATTCATCTATTAACTCTTAAACATTGCAAAGTATGTATTAGTTTTATCATTTTACAGATAATAATATTAATGATACTAAATGACTTGCTCAGAGCCATTTGAACCTAGATTTTTCTGGTTCAAAAGGTATTTTCTACCGAGTACTAGTTCTTTGTATTGTGTTCCTCGTTACACAGGAGGAACTAGTTCTTTGTATTGTGTTCCTCCTTACACAGGCTGATTTGTTCCTCCATCAATCTTTTATACTTGGTCGAGCAGGTATTATTTATTCTTACTGGATAGATTAAGAAATTAAGGTTCAGTAGAGTTTGATATTCGATTAAGCTCAAATAGCTAGTAAATTCTAGAACTGAGCCTTAAACACCATTTCAGCACTTTCCCTCTAGTCTCCAATGAGGATACATCTATAGCAATAAAGTCAAGAACTTGCTTCTGTCTTGACCTGGGTTGCCTTTTTAATTTTATATTAAAATTGTTCCTTGCTCGTCACCAAATTCCTTTGGAGTTATCTGAACTTGATTACATAACTCCTGTCATTTAAAGTTTTGGGGAAAAAAATAAACTTATCAGAACTATGTTTTTGTCTTAAAAGACAAGATAATGTTAAAATCATGGCCAACCTCACACATTTATAAGTGAAAATTTATAGGATCTTAGCCTTAAAATTATTTCTTCTTCCTCTTCCCAATGAAAGCTTTTTTTGCTGCAGGAATCTATCTTAGTCTCAAAGAAAAGAAATCAGAACTCTTCATAGACTCCAGTCTAATGTTACTTTTCAGAGATGTTTTCACTGGAGATACCAATGATGAAGTCTCTATTGATGAGTTTCAGACCCTACAGCAGGCTATGGAGGGTAAGTGGGGCTGGTCTACAGAGCAGGAAGTCCTGGCAAATCCCATAAAGTATATGATTGTCTACTCTTTCTCAAACTATGGTTGACCTTGTTTCAGAAATGCCAGGCTTTTCTGCTTCAAACAGAAAAGTGGTGAGGTGTGAGGAATTTAAAAGCCTAATGTTCCATGTCATATCACTGCTTAATGAACTGCATCTAAGATTATGAAATTCAACGTGAAAAATACACTTTTTGCAAGCATGGACTAGGGATTGTACTGCTCTGGAATGAATGGCAACCATTGATAAAGTGAGATAATATTGTCAAAACCTACCATGATGACAAGAACAGAACTGGACAGCTATAGCATAACAAGCATATGTGTTGTACCATGTGAAAGCTTTTTAGGCTGTATGTTTTTGATACTCTTTCACATGTTCAGTTTACTTCCAAAATCACAACTCATGTATTCGATCATTTAATAATTATTTAATGAGCAGTTACGATAGGAAATCTGGGGAGAGGCTATCTAGAGTTTGAGGTTAATGGTGAACAAAAAAAACGTTCCCACCTTCACGATGCTCAATTGCGGAACAGACTATAAAGTAAGAAACAACCAGTGGTTATGGCCAATATACTGACTTTGTATTTTTATGTTATCTTTTACAGTCAAATACTTGCTGCAATTTCTTCCTTCTCAAGCATGTTGTAGATGTGGTTTAGGATAGTCCTTGCTATATTTTTCTTTTCCTTGTGTGGTGGTCTTATCCTGTGAGTCTTTAGAGGATTGCTTTCTACCTTCCTCTCAATCCTCGTCCTCTTCCTGACTTTCATTTTAGCAGAGGATACATTTTAGTGACTCTGTTGGTTTAAGATTTATGAAAGCATGTATTTGATATATTAAAAACCTCCACATGTATCCACAAAGTGACCAAATGACCCCAATGCATAAATGGAGATGTAAACTTGTGAGTCCAAGGCAAGAAATTCAGTATAAAATCCGAGGCAAAGATATAAACAAAACAATTGCTTTCTACAACCTGCCAGCCAAGCAAATAATACAAATGATACTTAGTGGTTACTTTATAGATACCGTAGTTCAAAACTATAGCCCCCTTGTAAAAGAAAAAAATATTCCTAAAGATATATATTGTTTTCCTCTATAGGCTAGAGATAGAGCTATACATGGAACATTTTAGAGCTAGCAGGGCCATCCTTCAGCAAAAATGTGTAGTGAGAAGTTTGTCTTTGATATCCTTCTTTACTCCTATCAGAACCCCACTCCCTCTCTTGCCAATTCCCACATGCCAGATGTCTCCAGTTTTCTTGTCCAGCTTGAATTCTCTTCTCTGGGAGGCTGCCTACAAAAAATTTCCAGTAATAAAGTTTTATTACAAACATATCTGACAAGTTTTCATTTTTTACTTAAGGTCTGCCCCTTTGCTCAGTGACAAAATGGATGATGGCATTTTAATCAAATAAATAATTTTCTTCCTGGGTTAAACCATGGAAAATGTTTGATTTCAACTCTTTTTGACTTAAGAAAAGGCACTTTATATGTTTTAATATATTTCATGGTATTCTAGCTTGGGCACCAGAGTGAAGTAGAAACCTAAGCTTGACCTACCTCTGTGGTTTATTGCTAGATAATGTACAACACATCATTTTATAATTTTAACCCTCAGCTTTCCCCTTTGTAAAGAGAATACTATTTAATACTCTTACTTCTTGCTAAGTTTTTGAAAAGGACAAATATAATGATATACATAAAGACCATTTGCAAAGGGTAAAGTGGTAGTCTGGTATAAAGAATAATTATATTTGGTTATTTTTCATAATATGCTAGCCCATTTAAAATACATAGACTTCCATAAGGAGTAGGAACAGTGGAGGAATTTAGATGATCTTGGAGATGCCTGCCAACCTATGATGTCAGCTTTATGTCAGTGTGCTCTTTTATTTTTCAGATTCATATCACTATAATATTTTAAAAACCAAAACCTGTGGGACTAATTTATAATATGTATCATATGAAATTTTAATTTTGCTATTTACAGTGATAAGGGGGTAAAGGAAATGGAGTGAGTAGAATATAGATCTCTAACCACTGAAATAAACATGTAAGTAAATGTATTTTAAACTCTCCAAGCAAAAAAAAAAATTTAAGTCACTGATAGAATATATGTGACCACTTGGCATTATGGTTACATAAAAATCCTGGTTTTGTTTTTTTTTTTTTTTTTTTGTCAAGAGTTGTAGAGTATGAAGAAATTTTATGCACTCTATGTAATCACTCTTTGAGAGAAGATTCCAGGAGGAATTGAAATACATGCAGGAGTTTCCTGACCTTACCTGGGTTAGTCCATCCCAGGGTGTCAGGGGGTCTGCAGAACAGTTACAGAGTCTATCCATAATTTTATTTCCTGGGGGGGCAGGCAATGATTTTCTTCATATTTCTAAAGAAATCCTCATCCCACAAAAGGTTAAAACCAGATATATGAGGCCAAGAAAACAGTTTAGGAAAACAAATAAAAAATATATGTTTTTGTATAACCTGTTTAATTCTTAAAATCATTAATGCTTAGTGGTGTTTTCATCTTGAAGGCCTGGAAAATGCACAGTTTAAAAAATTAAAACCAAAACAAAATTTAAATATAAACTTCTATTTTCTGGTTATTAAAACTGACTTGTTTGAAAATATGCTTTTTAGATATTGCTTCTTCAATTTACCTATCATTATGTTTGGGTACCCCCTACCTTTGTCCGTCCCTTCCTTCCTTCCTTCCTTCCTTCCTTCCTTCCTTCCTTCCTTCCTTCCTTCCTTC